CCTCTGTTTTATAAAGTGCCCCCCCCCCCAGTACCTGCACTTTTCAGCCCCCATGTTTTCTACCATTACAACACATTGGTTTACACAACTGAACGGTCACTGGGCGGGCAACGACATTTTTGGGTGTAAAAAGTGCAAAAATAATAAAAGGTTGTAAAATAACAACACACACATGCAGTCCCCAGGCTTCTCTGCCCACTGGCACCACTGGTGGAGAAACGCTGGCCCTGCTGGTGCCAGGCCCCCAGGGCAAGGACTGGGCAGGAACTGGCTCTTCCCAGCCAGAGAGCCAATGGCTCCACCTACTGAGGTCCTGTTGGGGCATGTTTCTTTTTAGTTTGCCTGCAACATTTTTAGTTTCCCCCTTTGTAGGCATATCCGTCAGCTCTAGGGTGGATGTATCACATAGGGACATTGGTATAGAAATCAAATTAACCTCGGTCAGTCCTTCACACACTATTTGTAGACTAAGGCTGTGTCTACACTGCAGCGCTATTTCGCGATACTGGAGTTATTCCACGTCTTAGAGCAAGCTTGTTATATCAAAATAGAATTGCCTTACTATTCTGACGTCCCTGTAAACTTCATTGCACAAGGGTTAAGGGATGTTTTGGAATAGCCCTTTATTTCCATATTTCAAAATAGCACAAATCACATAGCTTATTTCTAGGTAAGGGAGCTGTGCAGACACACCCTAAATTCACAGAGTTGCTACCAGATTGAGCAGTGGGTGTAAAGCTGAGCCCAAAATGGATCTAGTCTTGTAAAACAGAGATTTTTGCCCCCTTGTGGAATTTAGCAGCTGTTACTTTGCACCAAGGCTGAGTTTACTTTAACCGGACTAGTTTGCATTTGAGATTCACCCTTAGATTTTTGACTATATGACAATTTGCAAAATGAGTTCTTTATTGCGAGGGGTTGTTAATGATGGATTCATGCTTGTGAGAGTCTCAGGTATTATATAGGAACCTTATTTAAGATTTTAGATCATTCACAGAATCATAGAATCATAGAACTGGAAGAGACCTCAGAAGGTCATCAAGTCCAGTCCCCTGCTCTAGACAGGACCAGTTCCAACTAAATCAACCCGGCCTGGGCTTTGTCAAGCCGAGACTTAAACACCTCTAGGGATGGAGACTCCACTACTTCCCTAGGTAACCCATTCCAGTGCTTCACCACCCTCCTAGTGAAACAGTTTTTCCTAATATCCAACCTGGACCTCTCCCACCACAACT